AGTCGAAGTCGCTCGAACTCGCAGACCCGTAGAAACTACTCACCAGCCAGCTCCAACCATCACCATTGATGATACAACCAACAGTTTGGCCCTAGAGACAAGAAGTTCGCCCCACACTGTTCTTCCACCACACAAAGAAAACACAAAGCCGGACAGTAATGACGACGCCTATTTCTGGCATTCTCCCTATTCGTCTTCTATTATTTGAATCACTGCTATCCGATTTTGGATCGATACCGGTGCTGAATTGAGTGAAGTTCTCCATACCGCACATAACCGCCACGTTCAACCAACCGCTGTCATTGTAGGTCGAAGAAATCACAATTGAGTGACGCGTAGCCAAAATCGATACGAATCCCGAAACAAAACACGATTGATTCGCAGAGTTCTATGGTATTAGATTAAAAAAATCATTACGAAATGTACAACAAAAATAAATCTCAAATATGCGGCTAAAAGCACTCAGGCAATCGAGAAACAATTAAGATGTCCAACAAGAGCCAACAAGTCGATCGCGTTCTCTATCCATGCCAAATTGAAATGTGGCGGGCATTGAGTCAACAGATAAACAATTATGTGTGGGTGTTTGTGAGCAAGAATACGTCAATAAACAAGCAACGCAAGAACAGAGTTACGTCAAATGTAATCATTGTCGGTTGCGAAGGATTAAAAAACAAATAAAATACAGTCACCGTAGCAACAGTGGTCGCATACACACCTACGACCGTCGCTCTATCACCATCGATCTTGGTTTAGGGCGATAATTTGGGTGGATTTTCACCATTGCTGATGTTCACTCTGCCAACATTGGTGTTGATCTTTTGTTTGCTTTTGGTATTAAGCAGCAAAATTTACTCGAAATCTCCACATCATTATTTTTCAGTGCTCGTGCAACGCGCATTTGTTCTATGGGACTCCGTCTACCCGAACCCGAGTTATCTGTCTTCTCCGATATTTTTCGTGAATTTCCAGATTTGACACAGCCCTCCTACGAACCTGAGAGTGTTACACACGAGGTGACCCACAGCATCATCATCAAAGTTCAACCCGCTATCGCCAGACCTCGCCGACTCACACCCGAAGCATTGTCCATGGCTCGCGCAGAGTTCAATCACATGCTCAAGCTTGGTATCATTCGTTCATCTAACTCCCCTTGGTCTTCCTCACTGCATATGGTACAAAAGAAAATTCCTGGAGATTGGCGTCCTTGTGGCGACTACATAGCACTCAAAAACTCCACCACACCATACAGATACCCCTTCCACACAAACATGATTTCGCAATTACCCGTCATTCAAAACAATTTTTCTGAAATCGACCTTGTGCGTAAATACCATCACATTCCAGTGTCTGAATCAGACATTCACAACACAGCAGTTACAACTCCATTTGGTATGTTCGAAATTTTACAAATGCCTTTTGGTTTACGTAACGCAGCACAAACATTTCAACGTTTTATGGACCAAGCAACTCGAGGTCTTGACTTTGTTTTTGTTTACTTCGATGATATTTTAATAGCTAGCACTTCACCTGAACACTACAGCTCCAACTTGCGCCTTTTATTTTCAGTTTTAAACACTATGGTCTTACATTGAATCCATCTAAATGCATTTTCGATGTCTCATCCTTAGAATTTCTAGGCCATGGGAATAACAAGAATAATAAGAACAGTAAAGCAAAAGACGTCTAAATTCCTGTGTCAGCTCTTGACTACCAGAACCAATAAGGACAAGAAAGGTGTGATACATTTGCAGCATGTCTATGAGGTAAATGATCTAGGGGTTATGATTACAAATGACTTCAGGCTACTCCTGCAGTGCAAGCGTGCGACTAACAAAGCTCGACACGAGCTTTTCAGGTTGTGTACCGTTGCAAGTTGCAGAAGGCCCGAGGTTTTTGTACCTCTGCACAAGCCTATTGTGCGTCCTCAACTAGAATGTTGCGTAAAAGCATGGGAGCCAAATTTAAACAGATTGAACGGTGTCATGAGAAAGTACAGCGTTTAGCAGCCAGAATGGTAGCAGGCCAGAAAGATAAGCGATACCTCCAGCGACTGAGGGACCTGTACCACTTCTCTCTGGCCTGAAAACGACTGCGGGGCAACCTTATAGAGACATTTAAGATTGTTCAAATAGTTGTTTGTCAGACTTGAAGTTTGTATGTCGATTGTGAAAAGTTCCCACCGAGGCTGCTGAACTTTTCACAATCGAGATACAAACTTTTAAGATTGTCAAAGGGCTTTTGGGTTCACAGTTCGAAGATCTACTGTCTTTCGTTCCGGTCAGGGGCAAGAGGGGCATCAACTTAGCCTGAAAAGAAGTCGTTGTGGAATAAATCTACGAGCAAGGTTCTTCGCAAGCAGGGTTATACTACTATGGAATAAATTACCTGAAACGTTGGTTAACTGTATTAGTGTCGAATCTTTTAAGAGAAAGCTAGATGAATGCTGGGCAGTATTATTTCCCCAAGTTGAATGTTGAAAGTTCCGGAGCGTTGTTGACCTCCGCGAGTGCCAGTAGAATAACGGAAGACCAACTAACGCAAAGTGAGATAGTGCCCTTGTGTGCGTCGCTCTGCCCGTTACGGTAGGTGCTGCCTCAACTCCGGGCCCATATCACCTCTCAGGATCTTCCTCAAACAGATAAGACCTCCCCTGAGGCGCCGACACCCAACTGGGAACAGACCAGTAGGCTGCGGACGACCTTCATATCTGGTCAGTTCAGTTCAGTTCAGTTCAGTTCAGTTTGCACAGGACAGTAGTGGCCGAGGCCAATCGTGCGTCCAGATAGTTGTGTTGTCAGCTAGCCTCCTTGGCTTCCAACACTGCTCGTCAAAGTTTCGTTCTGCTTGTTTCTGAAAGGCAGAATATTTAGGTGCAGTATCTCATCCACCAGATATGTAGAAATGAAATACATTAATACAGGAACGACTCACTTTGTTCCGTTATTGTCCCTCAAATGGCCAGCTCCGGGAAAACCACATCCCAGCACAGATCCAAGGCCTTTTTGAAGGCTTCAACTGTTGAGCCGCTTACAACATTTTCCGGCAATCTGTTCCACAAGGGTAACACCCGATTTGTGAAGAACCTGGCCCTCAGCTCCAACCTGGAGTGCTCTCTTTGCAGCTTAAGACTATGTCCTCTGGTGCAGGAACGAAGAGGCTGCTTAGTTCTATGCCCGACAACCCCTTAACAATCTTGAAGGCTTCTATCAAGTCGCCCCTAGTCCTTCGGCGTGACAGCGAGAAGAGATTCAGGTCCTTCAGACGCTGCGAGTAGCTCTTCCCTATCTGTCCAGTNTTCGTTCTGCTTGTTTCTGAAAGGCAGAATATTTAGGTGCAGTATCTCATCCACCAGATATGTAGAAATGAAATACATTAATACAGGAACGACTCACTTTGTTCCGTTATTGTCCCTCAAATGGCCAGCTCCGGGAAAACCACATCCCAGCACAGATCCAAGGCCTTTTTGAAGGCTACAACTGTTGAGCCGCTTACAACATTTTCCGGCAATCTGTTCCACAAGGGTACCACCCGATTTGTGAAGAACCTGGCCCTCAGCTCCAACCTGGAGTGCTCTCTTTGCAGCTTAAGACTATGTCCTCTGGTGCAGGAACGAAGAGGCTGCTTAGTTCTATGCCCGACAACCCCTTAACAATCTTCAAGGCTTCTATCAAGTCGCCCCTAGTCCTTCGACGTGACAGCGAGAAGAGATTCAGGTCCCTCAGACGCTGCGAGTAGCTCTTTTCTATCTGTCCAGTAACCATTCTGGTTGCCAGTCGTTGTACCCTCTCTAGACACTCCATATCTTTGTGATAGTATGGGGTCCAAGCTTGTACGCAGTATTCCAGCAGTGGGCGCGCCATTGCCTTATACAACGGAACGAACACCTCTGGCTTCCTGCATGTAACTGTGGTCCGCAGCCTGAAGAGTACTCCTCTTGCTTTATTTGCAGCCACCTGACATTGTCTTGTAGGCCGGAAGTCTTTTGTGACTGTGATCCCTAGGTCCTTTACCTCCGTCGTGCCACGTGGCACTGCGTCCCCGGTCGCGCATAGTCCAACAACGAGTCTAGTGGCAGTTTGTTGTACGTGCTCCAACTTAGTCAGTTTACCGGCCGTGCAGGGTTAGGTCGCCGAACTACCATACTCAAGTTTCGGTCTGACGTGAGAGACGTAAAGCAGTCTGAAAGCTTCCATCCCGAGCCGTCTGAGTGATCTCCAAATAGGTCCCAAATTGATCCACGAACTAGCACAGATCCTAACAGTTCTCTACCCTGTATTTTAGTGCATGATTGAAATGGTTTGGGCTTGCCGAATGCCTGGGGTCTACACCAACAATGGAAAATTCCGCACCGTCACTGGTTGTTGGGAGCGGCTGTCTCCACCATTTTGACTACGTGCGTCCGAATTCCGGACCAGGTTGAGGATCACACCCCCTGCCTCACCAACATGGTGTTTTAAGGTTGGGTGGCCAGCGTGTAGACAGTCCAATATCAAGGCGATCAACGCCTAAATAATATAAATCATAGCGTCCGACGATGATAAAGCCCACTGTTTTGCAGAACTCTGAAGACGAGCTCTTCGACTTATTCATGTGAATGTTTTATTGAAAGAAATTTTCCGTTGCATATCAATTCACATCGTTGTTTCATCCGTTTCCGTAACAGTCTGCATCGCCCGGTTCATTTCTTTTCCTTCGATCTCTCCTTGTTCGCGATCCTGTTTTCAAAGCCTCTCTTGATCAATGCCTCCTTTTGAACTGCTCCAACTCCATTATCGAACACTGATGTTCCAAAGAATAACGTCGTTCATTGTATGGTCCATTTTGAGCTCAGCATTTTTAAGCTGTTCTCTTTTATCACCTTACGTTTCTGCTGTTTCATGCTATATTTTTGTGATAACATCTGATATACTTTCATCATCTTGTACAAGTTGATCTTGCTCCAGGCATGCTTTACAGGCTTCGTGAAATAGATCATTATTATTATTATCGGTGTTTTCTCAGGTCTTTAATGATGACGTCACCAAAACTCCCAGGTTTTTCTCGCACAATGTTCTGCGCAATGTGGTTCCCTGGAAGTTGTAGACCACCTCTGATTCAGTACGCCCCAGGTTCAGGTGATCACACTCCGCGGTGATGACTGGAAGTGCCCAGGTGGCCGCCCACTGGGCCAGGTTGTTCAGATCCGCTTGAAGAGTACTCCAATTCTCCTCACCCTCCATTGTACGCCACATTTTGATGTCATCTGCATACATGAGGGATGGGCTTTGCAGCAACCCAGGCAGGTCGTTGACAATGACCACAAAGAAAAGGGGACCAAGAACAGAGCCTTGGGGGACTCCACTGGAGGCGGAGTAGCACGTAGGTAGCGATCGACCAACATGGACGCAGAAATTTTGATCAATAAGAAGATCTGGTATCCAACTTAGCATGACTACACCGACATCTAGGTTGGCGAGCTTTTGCAGAAGGTGGTTGAGTGGCTTTTTGTCGAAGGCCTTGCTGAAGTCCACAAAAATGATTTCCTTTTAGTGTCATTTGGCCTTGTCTTCGGTTCAGCACTCACGGGCCAGGAGCAGGTTCGAGAGACATGAGCGACTCAACTGGAAACCGTGTTGTTGGTGGCTTAGGTGATCGTGGCTTAACAAATGTTGCCGAAGCCGTGCAGCCACCATTCGTTCCATTACCAACAAAACTAGCAGGGCTGACTGGTTGGTAGTTTCCAGAGTTACTCTGGTCTCCACCTTTGTGTATTGGTACAATGATAACATCCTTCCACTGCCGCGATAAACGTCCTTGTGTAAATGACACATTGAACAGGTTGCACAACGGCACTGTCAGTACATCTGCCAGCTCCCTCAGGATAAGCGGATGCACATTATCAGGTCCAGGTGACTGGTGAACCTTTAACCGACGCAGTTCCAAGGCGACGTCTGTGATGGTACATGGAGTCTAATTCAAGGCAGTATCTGTGCCCATTGGGTGTGGTGATGTGCTAGAGTTTGGGGTGTACATCGAGGCGTTATGTTATGACAACATCTCCGCTTTGTCATCATCGTTTACGGCTACCGTCCTGTCTTTGACGAGAGTGGGGAGGCCCGAATTAGCTCGGATTCTTCGCCTGAGGTAGGTATGCAGACACTTTGGCGCCTATACAGAGTCCGATGCGAGACGTTCCTTGAACATGGATCTCTTGCATTTGTTTAGCGTTGTACATTGATTGCCAATAGCTCGATATTCCTCATATCCTGTGCCTGTTGCACGGCACCTAGACCAGGCTTTGTTTCGCTGCCGGAGACAATTCCGCACTTCGCACTCATGGCGTATGTTTGGTGGCGGTGAAGTAGAGAGAATTCCTGTACACAGTGATGGATTCCGTGACGGATCAACTCCCCGGATTCATCTATATCCCCAGGGCTATGGGAAACCCATTCAATGAGCGCCGCATCTTGATGCATTTCCGGAAGGGATGTGCGCCATACATTCCGTCTGTGCCGTGGTCTGTCCGCGTGAGGTACGTCACGCTTCCAGTGTATAGGCAGAATAGAATGATCACTGGACGCAATGGGTGGGAGGAGGTCAATTCTGGTCGCGCCTGATTGCCTCGGCGAGAGCACCAAGTCAGGGATAGATTTCTGGTCCTCAACTATCCGGACATTGCGAGTTCTCGTATTAGCCGCATTTCATTGTGTTCCACTGGGCTGATTAGGTTTTCACACCAGACCAGTAATAACAATAACAATTATTTATTTCACGATGAAAGCCGTAAGGCATGCTGGGGTGCATGATCATTTTGTACAATAAGTGGTGTGACATTTGGTTCGACAGAGTTCGGGGGGTTAAAAGCACAACGGAAAGCGATCAAGTTTACGCGCGACAAACGTAAAGGTCCACAGAACGGTCAATGGATATTTGGTTTATTGGGGAATCGATAAACGAGAACCTTAGCAAGGTTACACATTTCTGCCAGTTTTTAGTTTTTTCGATAAGCAGGTATGGAGAAAAGTCACAGAAGAGGAATTGGAATAATTGTTAATGTGTATACATGTCAATGAATTGCATTATTCAGGACTGAGTTCGATCCAGGGCGATAAATGAAAACGGCGAGTATCGGACACGGTAAAGACTATTAAACGTTGATCGGAGGTGGACAGAAACAAAGGCTGAATAGATGGAGCTTTGGAAAGTTTTTCTGTGTATATACGTGCTTGAAGATTTGTTTTTGAAAAAAGAATGCATGCAATTACAACTAACTTCTGGGTGGTATCACTGTTTAGGGGGGGGGTGATCGGGTAAAGAGAGGAAAAGTGGGTTCGAACCTCGCGAGGTTATCGATCGAAAACACGGGGAATGGGGTCGTTGTGTGTGGATCTGCAGTCTAACGTTGAGCTTGGTTAACGAAACGGTCCAGTTGACGGGAGAGTCCATGGGATCTTCCTTTAAATTTTTCGGTTTTCCTTACCGTTGTATACCTGTCCCATGCGACGGGAGTCGCCGTTATCCTGACAGCAGCAGATTTCTGGAAAGGAAACCGTAAATGAGGAGCAGGTAGGCTAGGTGAGCTCCTAGCTACTGAGAGGAAGAGAGAAAGCATGCATGTTATCGCTCAACTTAACGCTGAAAGTTTAAACCTGTCAGGGAACTGAAAGACTTAGTTGAACCAATTAAGTAATCTCTATCAGTTGCCGCTCACGGAACCATGCAATAAAAACAGAAATAGAACGTTTCTATCCGATGGAAAAACATCGGTTTACGGAGCAAAGGTTTTACGAAGCATATGTTTGTCCAAACAGCACCGACATCACTTTAGCGAAGTTTCTCAAGCAAGCTGTCTAGGCCAAAAATGACGCAGAGGTGGAGATGCAAGTTTTGCGTTAGAATAAAGGAAATTAGAATGGGTCACTGGGGTAGAGGAAAAGCATTAAAATTACGTGGAAAAAGAAAAACAGGACAATCTGGCATTATCCAGTTTCCTTTTAAATATGCTACCATTCGGCTATTCCACCACGTTCTCCGGAAGCGCATTTCAGAGATTTTTCACCCTTCTCGACAGACGGTAGATCAGCAGCAGACCGTTTGAATGCATCTTGTGGAGCGTAAGTGCATGTCCCTTGATACGGTTGTTGTTCCTCAGAGAGGATTCCAACTACAATTACGGTCCAAAGTCGCCCCGGATGATGCGTCTGGTGTAGATCAGATCACCTTTTATTCGTTTGTATGATATGGAAAACAACCCCATTGCACTCACTCGGCCCTCGTAGATGATTCCACGTAGTCCTTCGACGAGACGTGTGGCAGCCCTTTGAACTCTCTCCATTTGGGCAATCTCAGAATCCGTAATGGGAAAGACCGCTGGACCTCATGTGGGTGCACTTGTACATATTCACCGGTAACTCCCACACCCTCGACCAGGTCATCAGAGCATTCAGGTCATCCTGAAGAGACATCTGGTCCGCCTCTGTCCGGATTGTTCGCCAGAGCTTGAGGTTATCTGCATAGATTAGGCATGTGCTACCCAATGTTGATGGTATGTGGTTCGCAAAGATCAGGAGCAGCAGTTGGCCAAGAACGGAGCCTGGTTGGACACCACTGGTGACTGTGTACCGCGCAGATTGCGCCTTGAAAATCTCAGTGAGAAGGATCTCCCTTCCAGGAAGTCCTCCAGCCAGCGAAGTGTGGACCCTGTGACACCCATAGCCATGAGTTTATTAAGCCACCTGTCATGAGGTACTTTGTGGAACGCCTTGGTGAAGTTAACGACAATAACGTCCGTACCATATCCGTCGTCCGTGTCTCTAGACCAGCGTTCCCGCAGCAAGCAGCAAATTGGTCATACAGGAACGACGCTGACAGGTTCCGTGCTGTTCCTTTCACATACACTGGTGTCGCTCGAGGTAATTTGTAAGTCGTGAAACCACGAGTTTCTCCATCGCTTTGCCGATCACTGATGTAAGGCTCATGAGGCAGTAGTTACCTGGTGCAGTTTTCATTTTGTCATTGTAAATCGGGACCACAACCGCTTTATTCCACTCTTGGGGCAGTTTACCCGAGTGCTTTGATCGGTTGAAAGGCCAGGTAATTGAAGGGGAGAGCTGGACTGCCAGCTCCTTGAGCATGAGGGGATGAACACCATTCGGGCCTGGGGACTGACTGGTCTTGATCCACTGAAGCACTCTTATTACCTTCAATTCTGAAAACTCTTCGAAGGTGAACATCGATGTGGCTCTGGCTGCTGTTGGTGGCGAGCAAGCACCTATCGTGTACATTGAGCTGTATTGTGTAGTCAGTGTTTCGCTTTGCCTCCGTTGGTGTAAATCGTGTCAACTCCGTCGATCAACGCTGGAATGCTAGATCTAGCCCTCGTGCGTCGCTTCAGGTGGGCAAGACAGACGTTTAGGAGCCTTCACTGAGTCAGAAGCCAGCCTCTCCTCGAAGGTTCTACGCCTCGTTCGGTTAATTTCGCATCAAACTGAGTGCGCTATACATTTCGACCCCCGTGTAATCCAAGGGGTGCCTGGGTAGCATTCCGCCAACGAATAGCCAATACCTTGTGGTCACTGCACCATAACGGAAAGTGGTGCTCGATCTGATTTGCATCGAAACTCCTCGGT